CAATATTGAAAAACAAAAAGCAATAGAAAATCTTACTACTAAACCTATTAGTACAGACTTTCTTGCTAGAGTTATCACATATTTTGATACCAAGGACAAGTCGCTCAATTATCCTCTACTTGTTAAATATTACAGAGAATCAGCATATCCAGAAGCAGATAAAATTATTCAAACAAAATTCAAAATGACCTATACTGTACCAGCCTCTATAGAAGAGTCTCTTTTCTTTGAAGTGTCTTCTTTTCAATAACTTTATCCTCACAAAATACATAGATGCAGCTGCCACTTTATCAAAAGAAACAGCCGATGTATTTGATAAAGAAGATGATGTAAGTGGGCAGGTGGTAAAGCCTATTTACCTGGAGGCTTGGGTTAATGATGGTCAGACTTAACACACAGAGCAGGCTACAAGTACTCTGGAAACCATATGAGCCAGGTATACAGTGAGCAACCTTGTAGAGGATACTTCACTAGAGTTATTACCAACATCATCCAAATCCTATAACTCTAGTGCTTGCTACAACAAATTCTTATCATACTTTAACTTACCTCTATTACCAAACAATCAAACATTAAAAACCTTTCTACAATATTTACACTTTAACCAATTTCAACATGATACTGTCTTCTCTATAAATAATACTTTTAGTAAAGTACATGTTTACCTACCTCATGAATATACACTCCTACCAGCATAGCAGGCTTAAATTTGATTGGTTGATCGACATGCATATGTATTACATATTGGCATAACGTTTGCAGTCACAAAATCGAATTGGCAGCCACCAATACGGATTGGCAAAGGTTGCGACATAAAAAAACTAAAAGTATACCTTCTGTTTAATATACTGTTAAAATAATTCGGTAAACGGTTAGGTAATTCGGAACTTAGCTAAGAAGCGTTTATTGCCATTTCTTTACACTAGGAATCTATTTTTAGCATGAAAGAAGAAAGTAAGATGTCTACACAGCAAACCGACAAAATTACCACTACATCTAATACACAAAGAAGAAAAAGAAAGGCCCAATACTGTGATCTAGAAGGCCGGGAGGGTGTCGACTGCGATTATGAAAAGAATGGGGCAACTATTGTATCCGAAAAAGTAACAATACCAAGTTCAAGTCAACATTTGAACTTGGTTGAAAAAGCTTTGTGCCGAAAACATTATAATAAGTTAATAGTAAACGCAAAAAAAAACAAAAAAACTAACATATGTTCACATCCAAAACATGATCTTTATATTTCTACAGCTCGAAATAATTCAGAAGCAATGACTTTTAAGAAGGCACCAGAACGATTAATTGAATTTTTTAATTTGCCAGAGGGGGTGACTATGTGTCGCCATTGTCTATATAAAACTGACGATGACCTGGAACATATCAACTTGTCTAATTATCCACTGGCTTCAGAAAGGATTTCAAAAGAGAATGTAAAAAAATTTGAAGGTAGGTCATATATTTTACGTAACGACATCATCTATTCTGAATCTGAATTCCAGGAGTTGGAGTCCGCGTATCATGAAGTGTGTGCTGAGCTTGACGAAGCAAGGCTAGGTAATAATTTTGATTTTTTATTGTATTTTAACCAAAACTCAATTTAATTTATAATTTTGATTTTTTATTGTATTTTAACCAAAACAATTTAATTTATAATTATTATTTTAGAGTTGGTCCCTCTTAGTAAGAAAATTAAGTTAATGGCAGGTGTGTTATATACAAGACAGCGTGTATATAACGAACAACCTATTCTTGACCCGGATGAATTCAAGAAGATGCTTGAGGAGACTGAACCATCTTTACAAGGTTTTTTTGATCAATTGGTAGTAGGAACTAACCCACAGGCCAAAAGCTATATGACTAATGAGAAAAATAGAAAAAGATTGGTTTCATTTTGTTATTTTCTTGCAGGCCTTAATAACAAATTTATTAATGGGTTAAAGCGGAGGTTGGGCTTTTATTAGATGCATCTGGAACATCGTCATCGGCAATAGAAACTTTAGCGGGTGCAGGGTTAACAATAAGGTGTGAAACTATTGCAAGTCACAAAACTCGGCATGCAGAAGTACATAATTTGACAGTAGAAAAGTTTGTATTACAAAACGTAAGTGTACAATTATTGTAATTATCCTTTTTTTGTTAATTTATAACTAATCAATCGTAATTACAATTTTCAACAGACTAATAACCTGGTCGTTCTCAATTTGGATGACTTTTATAATATACATGAATCCCGTCGCAGTGATACAACTACTGCCCGTGAAGTTCCCCATTTTGCCACAATTCTTTTAAAAGCCCTGCCGGAAGTGGCATCAATCCCCTTTCATAATCCTAATCAAAATAATAACATCCACAATGAAAGGGGTATTGATGCAAAAATTATTATAACAAATGCTCATTCTGATTTCTTTCCCTATTTATGGCTTAGTTATGCAGGACGGAGACAGGCATTTAACGATTTGGTATCCGAACCAGAAACACATGATGAGCGAATGGAACACCTTCTAATTCATTGTTACGATGATAGGATTGAGCAACGTAGAACTGATCGAAGCATGGATAATACTAAATTGGTAGATTTGAAGCATGGATCTCTTCACTCTACTGAAGATTATTTGAATGCTTTTGAAGATATGCTGAGAATTCAAGAGATAAGAAATTATTTGGAAACACAGGTACTAATAGCACCTATGGATTATCCAGGGCAATTACATGTACGACAAGCTATAACTTATCGCATTAGCGCTGGCGATTCTTCTGGAATACCGGAACAAGTTAGGCATATTGTTCCGATGATTGGACCTTTACATGTATCTTTAAATAGCCGTGAAACTGTATTTCTTGAAAATTATCAGTTTTTTGATAAGCTTTTTCATGAGGTATATGGCCATAATAAGGTTTTGGCACAAAAGCCGAAACCTTATAAAATTAACTTGTTACTAGAATTGGCATTTCAGGGTTGGTCTCAAGTGCGCTCGATAATCCTTCAGAAATTTAGAAAATCTAAAAATCCAGAACCCCGATATCTTATTAACTTGCTGGATAATATCATACCATTAGTTTTAGATTTTTATCCTGTAATATTTCGTAGTGGAAATTGGCCTGCATACAAGGAAGCCATGTTTCGTATCTGGGCTATTTTTTATCAATATCGACGCAGACATTATAATAAGTTGCCATTGACATTTTTAAGTGATGCTTTTTATTGGATTAGTACTAACCATCCTATTTCTCAAGTTCTAGTAGACTATATCCATGTGTTCAATGATTATTATGTGGAGAACTTTCATAGCTCGCTTCGAAGGCAGATTCAGAAGTCGAACAATGCAGAACAGATTATTCGGCAAGCGCGAATAATCGATCAGATGCGTGGAAATAATTCTTTCACGAATGTGTTTTCTGAAAATCATAATATTAGATATTCAGCAAAACAGCTAGAATATCTTGAAAAACGTACTGCTCTCTTTATTCTAAGCTTTTTTACAGGTGTCTATCAGAACCTTGACAGGTTACTATCTGATTTACATTCGAAATCTAAGTTATATGAACTTCCAACACTTGGAACCCAAGTCGATGTTAAAGTGTTACCAATGGCTTGGAATACAGCATACCTTCCACGAAAAGATCGATTTTGTGACTTGGAAAGCTGTGAAGATTCTCAGGAGGTAGGTTGTATTCTTGTTTGTGGACACGCTTATCACTATGAATGTTTTTTGTTTAAATTAGGAAGTCAATGCTGTCATTGTATCAAATATCTTACAAGAGGAATTAGAAAAAATTGTAAGGATTATCAGAAAACTTTGAATTCATTTGGTAAGAAACAAGAAAATAAGAATATAGGGGAATCGGATATTGTTGAAACTGGTATTACTAATATTGATGATGCTGATACTGTCGATGATACTAACATCGATGATGATTCTAATGTCGAAGATGATTCTGATGTCGAAGATGATTCTGGTATAGATAATGATACTAATATTTGCGACGATACCGGTGATGCAGATTTTCTTTTAGATGATAATACTGATCCTAATAATATCGATCAAATTCTTGAAAATGCCATAGTTGTTTTAACAAATGTGTAATTTGAGTGTAACTGTGGCATAAGTCATGTATTGAGCATATATTTTTTGATGTATTATTTTTAATGTATTATTTTGATGTATTATTTTGTGTTAGAATTTATAGAGTTTGGCCTTTTATTTTTAGCGAATTCATAATTTTTTTTAGTTTATTAAATATAGATTTTTAATTAAATCGCAATACATTTATTTATTCCTTAGTAATAAATCTCGTATTACTACCGTAGTGCACTGACCGAAGTAACCCCTTTTGCGTACCCCCTTGCAAAATACCCTGCGCAAAACACGAGATCTCTATTAATTAACATGAGTTTTTTTAAATTTTTAAACAGCTTATTGTAAATGCAGAATATGTATATGCTTGAAATTTTTCTCTCTTCGATACAGACCCGTAACGGTACAATGGACCCGGGTTTTTTGTAAGTTTTTTTTGGGGTGGATTGTATTGTACCCCGGGTACTTTGGTCAGTGCACTACGGTTTAATTCTTATCGCATTTTATTGTTATCCATATTTGTTACCTTGTTAAATTTAATGTTTTTTTATCGATTATAATTTTAAGAAAAATTTTTACATAATTTTTTACATTACATAATTTATTCCCAACATTTTACAATCTCAACACCATTCACTTTTTAACATCAATCCCACATTTACAGGTCAGTTCCGCATTCTCAATACCATTGTATTCACATAAAACACTTAGTTTGTGATTTTATGGGTGTTGCTAAGACAAACTATTATTTGGATTTTGTGTAAAAAAAATTAATAGTATGCGCAATTAACACAGAAAATTAAAGTTAATACGAATAGAAAAACGTGAATTCCGTCACAAAACATAACGAAATTTAAATAGAAAAGAGGAAGGGTTTAAGTACCTTCAGAATTTCGAAAACTGTCTCGTTTAATGGGGGCACACATCCGACCGGTTTTCTAAGTCAAGCAAAGCAATAAATTCAAAGTTAGAAGCTTTGTTTTCTCTTTGCAGTATATACTCAAAAATTAACATAATAAGTACTCTAACGTGACGATTTCGATATACAAAGAATTTCTATACTGATATTGTTATATCTTATTTGACCAGCCAATAAGAATTCGTAAAAGTCACGAAATGATCTACAAAAAATTAGCCAATTATAACGAAAGCCCGCTATGCTACTCCTACCTAATCACACAATTATACATCAATTTTTTATTCCAAATACCTTAATCTACCTATTAGAACTACTGCAACAAGTTCTACTAATCCTATTAATATATCAGAAGATCTCTTTCTATCTTCTGAATTACCAACTTCTTCTATACCCAATTATGTTGCATTCAATAGTATTGTATTTACTCCTATAACCGCTTTACAAATTTTGAATAAAACGTAATTTAAATTTCTCTACGAATACAGATGAGCTTTTGCAGTAGTCGAAATATCTTCGATTAACGCATAGTAACCTTCACAAAATATGATTTACCAGTTTTATTGCGCAGACTGCACAGACCAACATTATGGTAATTTTCTGCTGATACGGGCTAGAATTGTTAAATATCGGAATATTCAGAGGTTCTGAAATATTCTGCCTTCGCATCGTCCCATCTCTAAATATGTTAGATAAACATTACAAGATTGATAAATATCATTCTTAACCTAATTGAATTGTATCTTGGTTACAAAATGTTTCATTAAACGTATAAAGCAATACATATCTACAGTGAAATGTTGTGCCGCAGATGCATTCTTGCGTCAGATGACGCTGGCCTGAGTTAGGGTTAGTTATTCAGATTAATCTCTAATGCTTTATTGCAGTTTATAAGAGCTCATTAACTTTCCCTAACATAAAGTACGTTTACCACGTAAAATAAAAGAACTTTGGCTATTTCTAATGATCTATTTCATCAGAAAGTACATTTTCATATTTCGTAGTTTAGAATAAGTCACACCACGGAGAAATAATGCGATCAAATTGTTAGAATTATATCTAAAATACAATTAAATTGATCAAGTGAATCAACATAATGACCCAATTTTAAATATGAATCCCAAGATTAATTTCATCTTCATGCTCATCGTTAATAGAATTATAGATTTCATATTTATCAATGAGAGAAAGTCATATATTAAAGATCTGTATGATTTAAGTGTTATGTTTACGTGTGATGAGAAACTTTGAACAATGAGGGGTTTCAGAATTAAAAAAAAATAGCGTATTTCGAAAATAAGTAGGAGCTTAAAAAATCTTATTTGTATA